GTTTTTCTACTTAAGGACCTCTTGTGGTGATGGATCCCTTGTAAGAGTGGTGCAGTGGTAGCTGTACACCATCTAGTTCTGGTTTCAGGGTTGTGGAAGCTTGGAATTTTTATGTTTTGAGTCTCATCTTTCTTGCATTGCATTACTCTGTAGGCTTCTATTTCTTTCCCTTAGAAACTCTTTTCTCAGCGTTCTTTGTTCAAACCTCTTTAGCCCTGAAAACCGTTGCATATTTCCAGATGTTTGTCTTGTGCTTTGGTCACTGAGAATCTGCTCCCCTGTTTTCTCACTCCTCGAGGGAGAAGGATTAAAAACAAACAAACCTAAACCCAAACCCAGTGCCATTGTGTTGATTCCTGCTTACGGCGAGGGACTCTGTAGGACAAAGTCAGGAGCGCCCTGGTGACAGAGTGGTTCTGCGTTGGGGTATGATCCACAAGGTTGGAAGTTCAAACCTACCAGCTGCTCCATGGGAGAAAGACAGGCTTTCTACTCCCATAAACAGTTACTATCTCAGAAACTCAAAGGGGCAGTTATTTCTACCCAGCCCTATAAGGTTGCTGTGAGTCAGCATCGACTCTGTGACAATCAGTTTGAATTTTATAGGACAAAGTAGAACTATTCCCTGTGGTTTCCAAGGCTATAAAATCTTGACTGAGGCAAACAGCCCATCTTCCCTCTGAGCTAAAAGTGGATTTGGACTGCCAAACTCCTGGGTGGCCGCCCACAGCTTGCTTAACCCACTGCGCTCCAAGGGGAAAGGATATTAAGAAAGTGTTCTTATGAGTGTGATGCATATATCGTTATCAGGTGGCACCATAGATTTTTTCAATTTTAGTTTTTTGTCTGTAGGAATAGCAGGAGTTCTGGAGGCACAGCTGGTTAAGTGTTAGCCTGTTTACTGCAAGGTCAATAGTGTGAAGCCACCAGCTGCCCCACAGGAGAAAGATGAGGTTTTCTACTTTTATAAAGGTTTATAGTCTGGGAAACCCACATGAAAGTTTCTCTTCTGTCTCATAGGGGTCATAGTGAGTCAGAGTGACTTGACATTGAGTTTGGGTTTAGAGCTTTAGTTCTTGGGGGTGTGATGCATACTTCTTGCCATCAGGTGGCACTACAAGCTTTTAAATTCATATCTTTAGGAATCAAAGTCTTTGTAATACATTATGTGGTAAAGAAGCAAGTTGATGTCGGAACTGTCTTGGTGTTTACTTAGAAATGAAATGAACACTTTTGCTAACAAATAAAAATTTATTTTCCTTTTATGTGATGGCTATGAGAAGCTTAAATGAAAGGAAATCAGAACATTGGAATTTGGTTTGATTATTGTCTTATGCTATTAATTTTTTGAACAGTTGTCTTCATAAATTCCTATATAATATGTATGTTAAATGCCTTGAAGAGCTGACTCTTAGTTAAAACTTCTGTTGATTTGCACGTCTTGAAGCCCCTTGGGTGAAGAAAATTGTCTTCTGGTAAACATTTCCATAACAAATCGAGGTAATGGGGCAATAGTTGTAGCCCCTCTGCTTATTCTATCTGCCTCTACTACATTTGAAATGTAAAACTCACATTTGTAATGTTCTCTCCTGCAATTTTATGATAGAAAGTGTGTGTGTACTGCCTCCAGTGAGCTATTTATCCCCGCAGTGCCTCTAAATGAGGTAATCAGACAGCGCAGGCTAAACTCCACCCTTTCACCCTTAATAATCTCAAGTTGGTACCAGATTATGTAACTACCACACTTAGCATGTGGCTAATACTTCTCTTGCATTACTCTTTATAACATAGACAGAAGGAATTATGCTCAGAGTCTTTTTTTTTTGCCTTATATCTAACCCCCATTGTTTTCTTTTTTTTTTCTTTTCTTTTTTAACATTTTATTAGGGGCTCATACTGTTATCCCAATCCATACACACATCAATTGTGTAAAGCGCATTTGTACATCGTATCTCAAAACATTTTCTCTCCA